GATATTACCAGAGAAAAAGCTACGTAGGATTAGGTTAACAACTCTTAGAGGTTCTGTTCTCCTGTTTGAGCGGGGGGCTGGACTAGAAGACCTCCAAGGTCCCTTCCAGTTCTAATCTGTTCTGTTCTATCCAGGGGTCTCCAACCTTGGGAACTTTTAAGACTTGTGGACTTCAACTCCCAGTATTCCTCAGCCAGCAAAGCCGGTGGAGTTAGAGCAAAGCTGGCTGAGGAATTCTGGGAGTTGAAGTCCACAAGTCTTAAAAGTTCCCAAGGTGGGAGACCCCTGCTCTATTCTCTTAGTCTCAAATCCCCCGCACAGCCGGGAAGAAGCAGAACTTAAACGCGGAGCTGGCGGAGCGGATCGAAGGTCTCCCCGTTCAAGGCCGGAACGCCCCAGATCGAGACTCGCACCGCTTCCAGCCCGTGGGGTCGCGGGCAGCCCAAAGCCGGGCCCCCCCTTTCCTTTCTAAAGCGGGCCGGAAGTCCCGTCCCGCGCGCCGATTTCCCCCCCTCCCCCGGCGTTTTCGGGCGAGGTGGGCGCGAGCTCCTCCGAGCATGCGCCCTCCGAGCCCCTGTGTGCTAGGCCGGGCCAGCTTCCGGCCCCTCCCTCCTCCCCTTTAAGGCGCTCGCCGCGTTCCTCTATTCTGCCCTCCGTCAGGCGGATCCTGAGGGAAGGCCGTGCGGCGAAGCTGCAGCGGTCGCCGAGCGCGGGAGGAAGGCAAAGCGGGCGGGCGGGCGGGCGAGATGTCCGGGGGCTGGGGCCGGGACATGATGGATTACGGGGACGGGCCCGGGATGTCCGGCGGCGGCGGCGGCGGCGGCGGCCGCGGGGGAAGCAGCGCCGGGGGCGACGGCCGCATCTACGTGGGCAACCTGCCTCCCGACGTGCGCGAGAAGGACCTGGAGGAGCTCTTCTACAAGTACGGCCGCATCCGCGACATCGAGCTGAAGAGCAAGCGCGGCCTGGTGCCCTTCGCCTTCGTGCGCTTCGAGGACCCGCGGTGCGTGAGGAGACGGGAGGGGAGGGGGCTCGCCTTTCCCGCCTGCGCCGCGGCCCGGGCTGCCCTGAAGGGGGTCTCTTGAGGGAGGGGAGACCCCGTTGGGCCTGGGATGCCTGCGCCGCCCACCCTCCTCAATTGGGGGGGGGGAGGTCGAGCGGGGCTGCAGCGGCCAGGAGAGGCTCGGAGCCCACCCGGCTTCTCTCGGCCCCAGGCGAAGAAGCCTCGCCTAATCCGTGGCTTCCAGCCCCGAAACTGAGGGCGAGGGTGGTTTTTTTGGTTTTTTTTGGCGGGGGGTTTGCCCGGGTCGCGTTCAAAGAACTTGGCAGAGAAGGATCGCGCGCGCCGAGAGGCGCCTTTTAAATCCGCTGCTCTCCATCGGCCAGCGGGCCCGGAAGCAGCTCTGAAAATACATTTAAGCTCTTTCCCCAACGGCAGCAAGGCAAACTGGTCCCTTTTCAAATAAAGACTGGTGTGTGTGTGTGTGTGTGTGTACGTACATACATACACGCACATATACATATATATGCATGCATACATGCACACATACAAATACATGTATGTATGTATGCCTTTTCCCAGCCCAGGATCCTTCAGGTGACTGGCAGGAATTCCACAAGTAGCGGAAGCTCAGAGTTCCTCCTGTTCATGCGGCCTGTGTGAGAAAATGTGACCTGGTTCCAAAAATAGTGTGTGCATCTTTTCTTTCGTCCATATGACAGTGTTGCAAATGGCTATCGCAGGGATTTGCTTTTGGATGTTTTCTCAATATCTATGTTTTTAATTGGGTAGGGTGGGTTTTGTGTATGGTGCTTTATATCTTACCTGTGATTCAATATCAGTATTAGTTGTGCCTCATTCAAAACCCAAGAAAGAAATCCTTCAACTCCATTAAAATAGAGAAAAGTACTTTTACTGAGTTTGAAGTGATAGCAACAAAAGAAAAGCAAGATCTGAGGCAAATAGGCGTGTAAATTACATATTGAAAGTTATCCGAAGTTCCCTCCCCAGGAGTCCAGACTGGTCATCCAATCTGAGTGTGTATCATGTCATGTGGGGTTTCTCACTCATCTGGTATGCCAAGACAGTTAACCTTGGCTTAGTAGAGATAAGTCTATGCAGTTGCACAGTAAGCAGGAAAACATCCCCTCCTTTTTAGTTCACGCAGAAAACATCTTCACTCCCAGCAGCCTTCCCCTCCCAAATACCAAATTACCACACCCCATTTCTATGGCAGCTGACAAGAAGCAAGCAGCAAAAGATGTCAAGAAAACTTTGTGGAGGCTGACTATCAGTTTGGCAGGGTGGCTATGGAAAATAATAACTATATTCAATCTATTTTCAGCAGTCAATAGAAATAGAGTGAGATGTGAATGGGCATTTGTACTGTACAATGCAGCAAGAATATTCAAAGCAATTTGGGAACTCTCTTGAAAAGTCGTGGTGGTAGATAATCTTCCAGGCTAACACTGATTTGCCATTGACTTTTTGGAGTTTTGTGGTGGTCTCTTTTTCAAGTTCTGAACAGATTTGCCTCCACTGATTCTGTTTACTTTCTCTGGGTGTTCAGCTGTGACTCTTCTACAGTAATAATAATAATGCTGACCGGATGTACTGGTGCTTCTTTGCTTTACAGGAGCATCTTGGCATCAGTAAGCAGCTTATGGGTTCAGTCTAGTAAGTTTTGTGCCATAAGCATGAAGTCTTCTGTCTTCTGTGCCCCTTAACAAAGAGACTTCTTTGGCCCAGATTTATAATGCAAGCATAGTGATTTTTTTTTTTTAAAAAAAAGTTAATTCTGTTGAAATATACTGCTCATGTGAAATGCAACCTTGGAAATCTTAAAAGTCTTGTGTATATTTACAGCTGTGCTGTTCTTTTTCCACCTATCTTCACATTTTGACTCAGGCAAGAGAAGCATTCAGTCCCTACAGTCTGTTCATTATAAGAGCAGATGTTTTTCCTTACATCCACTTTGTCTTGACATGCCCTCCTCAGAGACGCTGAAGTTTCCATTACTGAATGAATTTAACCTTCATCATGCTTTCCTCAAACCTTAAATGGCCCCTCTCTTTTTTGCGAGATTTGCTCAAACAATTAAGTTTGAATAGACTAATAGGAACACCATTGACCCCTTCCAACACATTCAAAATGGGAAAAGTATGTTGCATTTCCTGTGTGCCTGTCTTCTACATCTTCTCTGAAAAGGATAATTTTCTTTGTACAGCACACTTCATTCTTGTTAATAGCTATATTCTACTTAAAAACTAGCTGTACAAAAAGTAGTACTTAGCAATATAATTTGTTGGTGCTGTGTAGGTGCAGAAAAGAGCTTAACTCTTGGCATCCTGTAGTTTTGAAATGAAAGAGCTGCCACTCTTTCACCACTATGATTTTCCTCTCAAGAAATATAAAAATAGGCATGAGTACTAGATATGTTTGTTGCCTTCGCAGGTGAGATAAAAATCTTATAACAAAACAGTTACCTTATGAAAGTCACTTCTTTCTATTCCCTTTTACCTTGCAATGATAGGAATGTTAAAATGGTGTTTCCTTTTTAGGCTATAATAAGTTAAATACAAATATGTCATTTTCTTGGTCATGGTCAATCAGAAAAATAAATATCTTATGGCCCATTTGTGGCTAATGGTGTACAGATAGAGGTCTGGATATAATTTTCATTATTGTTTGAGTGTCTGTAGATCTGGAACATTCTAATCACTTACAAAGTGCTTGATAGCAAAATAGGATAATATGAGTTGGATTCCACCCAATGAAAAAGTAATTGAAATACTGTGGCCAAGTTTTAATTAAAATTTTTCTTTTAAATCTGTGATACAGTGGCTAGGGTAGATGGCTGGAGTGGCTAGGGTAGATAGAGATTCAGTTTAACTGGCTTACAGGTAGTCCTCAATTTACGATCACAATTGAGCCCAACATTTCTGTTGCTAAGTGAGACAGTTACATGAATTTTACCCCATTTTACAATGTTTCTTGCCATACTTGTTAACTGAATCCCCACAATTGTTAAGTTAGTGACATCATTGTTAAGTGAATGTGGCTTCCTCATTGACTTTGCTTGTCAAAGGATTGCAAAAAGGGATCACGTGACCCCAGACAGTGCAATTGGCATAAATACATGCCAGTTGCCAAGCATTCAAATTTTGATCATGTGACTGAAGGGATGCTGCAACGGTTGTGTGAGAACCATTCATAAGTCACTTTTTTCACTGCCATTGTAACTTCGAATGGTTGTAAAATGAGGGCTACCTGTATTGGTAGTTTTTGCTGTGTAGGTGTACAGAAACTTCGGCATGGATTCACCAGTACGTATTTTATAGTTTAAATATTGTTTGTTACTCAACACAAAAACAACCACATGCACACCCAGTTCTGTCGTTTATCAACTTCACATGTTTGGGTTATTTCTAAAATCCTGATAACTCGGAACTTCATACTTTTGTGATATTTCTAAACTCCAAACTTTGATCTTAAGACCATTTCAGATTCAATCAGATGAATTTGGGCATGCGCTAATGTCTGCCAGTTTAGAAACCAGCAGCTTCTAGCTTTTTTAGGCTTTTCAGTATTTTGCACTTTGAGTCTTAAGCTGCAACGTTTTCAAAATCTTTCCTGTTCTTCTCAGATTGTTTGGATAGTGTAAACATGGCTGTATGTTGTTTGTTCACAGAGATGCAGAAGATGCAGTTTACAGAAGGAATGGTTACGATTATGGCCAGTGTCGTCTGCGTGTTGAGTTTCCCAAACCTTCCAGAGGTCGGGGTGGAGGCTTTGGTGGGGGGCCTCGAGGGAGGAATGGCCCTCCTTCACGACGATCTGAATTTCGAGTCCTTGTTTCAGGTATGTCCCTTTCTAAACCTCATATTGACTGGAATCCCTCTGATGCAATCTCCAGTTGTATTGGAGAGAAGATTATCTTATTATTACCATGTTATATGGTTTCTTTCTTAATACGGAACTTGTCCCTATGGAGGAGCTTTTTAGAACAGCAAAAGGACACTCTACTTGGATTCAATCCATGGAGAAAGTCTTGCTTATGGATTCATCATGGTGAATGAGTGGTGAGCAAAAACATCTCCAGCTGAAGGCAAGAGTGAACTCTTGGATGCAAAATGGGGTCACTGTATGGGCGGGCAAAGGGAAGGAAGAAAAATTAGGGATCGAGCTTTACGGTGTTCCTGGCAGAAGGAACAGGCTTTAGATGGTGCTATGGCAACCAAAACATGTCTATTAAAACCCGAGAAACAGCTGCACAATATTTGTGTCCTTTATGAAAGAAAATTAACCCGAAATTAGATCCCCTCTGTTCAGAGCTTTGTGGATTCCTCAAAACAACCTTGATAGACCTGGAATAGGTGCCTGTGTCTAGTGAGTTGGGAGACAAATGAAAAAGTCCTAATCTCATTGGAAAGCAATGGAAGTATTTTGGAGGTTTTGCCATGGTGATCAAGTCTCTGAAGAAAATTGAGCACGCTGTGGCCAAACATATGGAATGGCCCACTTAACCCATAAAAATATTCCTAAAAGCTAAAATAAAATGCCAAGAAGTCTGCATGTTACTGTGGCATCGTGGCTAGAAATAGGAGACTTCTCGGTGAGGAAATCGCTGAATGGCAATCACTTCAATTTTGCAGCAGGACCTGGAGATGAAAAGTCACAACCCCAGGTGTACATCTCCCACACAGAAGCCTGGGAGGGCAGGGAGGATACCTGGACTGGCTGTTGGCTTGAAGGGAGAACTTATCTTCCTAGAGTGTGTTGTGAAGCATTCTTGAAAACTGCCAGGAAGCAGCAGCATACTAATTTCTTCGGAATATGCTGTGGAACAGGGGACTCACTTCCCTTTATTTTTCTGTATAGCATATTTGTGGATAGCTAACACAGGTATCCTTGCTTCGCTGCCAAGGATAAGCTGTTGGAATCTAAGGAGTCAAACACTCTTAGAATGGGACCCTCATTCTTGGATGGGAATCTAATGTTGAGTACATGGAGTACGATCTGTCCAGAGTTAGGGGTGATATTAAATTTACATTGGACAAATAGGAGGATTCCTCTGACTACCCAGTACTTTTGAATCCTAGCCTTACCTAGGGGACTGTCTTGCTGACACGGAGGGCTCACCCTTTGGAATGGAACTTATTGCTGTTCTGTGGACCCTAATTGTAGCACTGACTCTCTGGAATGAACAGGAACTCTATGGAAATGGTGGACCACAGCCATGCCTGGCGTAGCCTCAGCAACTGGTGACATCTCTTTACACAATCTCTTGTTTTGTGTTCTCACTGCTCAGGGCTTCCTCCATCAGGCAGCTGGCAGGACCTGAAGGATCATATGCGTGAAGCTGGTGATGTATGTTATGCAGATGTTCAGAAAGATGGAATGGGGGTGGTTGAGTTTCTTCGCAAAGAAGATATGGAATATGCACTGCGTAAACTGGATGACACCAAATTCCGATCTCATGAGGTGGGTTCCTGCCTGTGGGTGAAGAGCATGTGTGTGTGCAAGTCGTGGAGGAACATACATTAACCTGTCCTTTTGTGGTGCTTTCTCAAGAAGCTCCTGGGCACAGTCTAGTAGTAGTCTTCAAAACAGTAGTTTAAACTTGGTAAGATTAAGGGTTGCCAAGGCTATGTGAAACCTACCCCATGATGGTATGGTTAAAAACACTGAAGCAGAAACTAGGTTTGTGCTTTATTCCTGGAAAATGAGCATTTGGATTACTTGCTTTTAACATCTGAGCAAGTCAAGTTGATTTCATTTGTCCTTTTCCCATTGACAGCCAGTGGGTGAACAAAGATGGCTACCAGCTGATTGTTTCAATAAGCGTAGCTTGCCTTCTATTGGCAAGCTGAAATGATATTTCCCAGAGGAGCAGCTGTGTAGCTTTATGGCTTACTTAATAGTAATCTTCCCCACCTGTGCTTGGATCTTCCTACTTAAGATGGTTTGATACCTCTACTATAAACCAGGTTATTATTCTTGGGGCATTGCTACTTCACTTGCAACCACCTTCTTCTAGTGGCTGGCTAGATCTTCAACCACCCAGTCAATCACAGATGGAGGCTGCTTGTTATGGAATTTTCTTCAAGAATCTGAACTGCAGAAACAGAATTAAGTTAAGATGGACTGGGTGAGAATTCACCAAGACCTTTCCTAACTGTGCTGAAGGACTTCACTAGCCTGCATCTCTCCCTCTGGTAGCTTAACTTTGGAATCCGACATCATCGCCCTTCTTAGTTGCAGGGGGACAAAACGTGTCTGGGTTGGCCTACCCAGCCTAGCTGTTCCGTAACAAGCCCTTTTTCAGCAGACCTGATGGGCCACCTCTGGATTAGCCTACAGCAGCAATAGGATTTGGCTGCCCGTGTGTGAAAACTCTTCGGTCCTGAGCCACTCTGTGCATTGGTTTCTCGCCTTCATTTTTGGCATTCATTTATTCATAACACTGACCACAGGATGTCATGCCAATGTTTGGGTTTTCTCTGTTCTGAATTCCAGGGTGAAACAGCCTATATCAGAGTTTGTCCTGAAAGAAGCATCAGCTACAGCTACTCACGCTCCCGTTCTGGTTCAAGGAGTCGCGATTCTCCCTACCAAAGCAGGGGATCCCCGCGCTACTCTTCACCCTTTAGGCCATTCTGAATGCACCCAATAGGGACTTGTAACGATGTGAACTGAGCTTGTCATTTCTGCTCGGAGTTTACATTCCAAAATGGATGGATATAGTCTTTCGTAGGAACCTTTTTGGTTGTTTTTTTTTCCTTTCTATTCAAGAAAACCTTTTTTTTATGACAACTGTTTTTACTAGGGAAGTGTTGGTAATGAAGTACTATGAATCATTGCCACTTAAAAATGCATTTTATTTGGAAAATGTAAAGTTGTTTTTGCTTTCCTTCTCAGTGAGGGAAAATGAGCTTGAAAGTCATACATGTTAATAGTTTGCTGGATGGGCTTTAAAGCAGCGACTGTTGGTGGCGTTTCAAAATATATTCCAATGTTTCTGTAACTCATAAGTGAGTGGCTGTCTTTTTGTGCAGTCAGGGTAGAAAGTGAAGATAAAACAGATGACCCTGGTTTTTAAGTTGCTTTTTATTACTGGGTTAAAGCAGCATTTAAAAAGATTTTGCTCTGCAGCTGTCATACTAGAAACATTGGAGGGATGTTTAAGCTGTTCTACTATAACACCAGTGCAATTTTACTGGCTGTTTTGATATATAATTTCACAAATAGTATGCAGGACAGATTTTATTAAGCTTGGAAAGGTTGAGAGAGCAGGTTTAATACAATTTCATTACTTAAGGGAGGGGCTAAAAATTTGGGGAACTTACTGGGGAGGGAGTTTTCTGTGCATCTCACTAACTGCAAAATGTGTCCAATTGAAGCATTTCTTGGAAGTTTTATGGAAGTCCCATAATTAATTTGATCCATAAAATAAAATGTATTTCAGTGGTTTTGTGCTTAGTTAACTTGTAAAATGAGGTGTTTTATTTAAGTTCCGTGTCTGTAATGTCCACATATTAAGAGCTTATAAAGAAAGCTTCATTTCAGCCAGCTTGCAAGTTTAGAGGAAGTGCTGCCAATCTAGGCTTTGAGAATCATATTTTGAGACTTTGCTCAAGTGAGTTGCTGCAAAGTCCCAGGTCTTCTACTGAATTAATGCCTTACTGCATCATGTTAATAGCTGCAGTCAAATATGAAGCGTTAGTGGAAGAAAAAACTAACGCCATTTTGGTATAAAATGGGTCAAGCTGCCTGTGTTGTAGATGAAATACAATTTATGTACAATGATAAAATAATTATGTAGCAACATTTGGCTAGAAAAACACGAAGCAGTGTATGTCCATTGCAAAATCCAGTGTAGCATATTTGTCAGAAAGTCTCTGTGCTTTGCTTGCTAAATAGTGGCTGGAGTTCAAAATGCGCTGAGTAAAAAAAAAAAAAAAAGGCTTGTTTGTGGCTTAGTGATTAGATACCCTGAATGTGGTTCATCCTGCAGAATAGCATTAGATGCATCTTATTGAGGAGGGTGAGATTTAAGACTTAAAGTGGTTTAAGACACTAATTTCCTTCTTTTAAAATAAAACTCTCTCCTCAATTGGATTCTTCTTTGCAAGGCTTAAATGCCTCCCCTTGCTCTCCATAAAGCACAAAAAAATTAGCTGGCCATTTTTGGATTTTTAGATACCTTACTAACCATAAACTGCTGTTACTGGGCACAAAAAAATTTGTATTTCTTAGGCACGCAGAGAAGTTAGCCTAAACATTATCCTTCATCCAAAAAAGGGCTGCATTTCTGAGGCAACTCATTCCCATCTGGAAGACTGTCTCTAAAGATGATGAACATCGTTCCTTGGTTAATTAAATCTAAATGCCACAGCATATCTTAATACACAATACTACACATCATATTTTGCAATAATTAAAAAGAAATTTCAAAGTATAAAAGCAATTGTGCTACATTTTATTCAGTTTTCCTGGAAAATATTTTGTTTCATGACCGAATAACAAGGAAACAGTAATTTGAACTCATAAAGTGAATGTTTGAATTCCATTTTGCAGAATGTTCTGCCCTCAGCAGTAATACATGGTCCCTCTTTTGTGCTGGGATTTTTTTTTCAAAAACAGAAGCATGTGTGTCATTTATTAATGTCCCCGTTTCTGATATTTCTAAAGTCCTGAATACTCCATTTTAAGGATCTGAATAAGATTTAATCAGTAGATCTCAGCATGGGCTAATGTCTGCCAACTTATGGACTAACAATCAGTAGCTCACTTAAGGCTGTATTTCAACAGTTTTATATTTAAGCTTTAAACCACAACAGTTCTGGATATTTTCCATGTTCCTGCTAGACTGACTGAGCAGTGCTAACCATGGTTATATGTTATTTGCTCACAGCAATTCAGTTTATGGAGGAATTGTACTTGTGGCTAATGTTGCCTCTCTACTCAGGTTCCCAAACTTTTACAGGGTTGGGCCTATGAACTTCCCCATTTCACGACTTTTGATCATAGTCTCTTCACAATTATGTGTTTCTTTGGGGAGATTTGGTGATTGAGGTTGGGTGATTAAAATATTTAATACTATAAAATGTACCAGTAAACTAGTACAACATTTTAATATGACCAGAATTCTTGTATGGGTTTTAAAAGAAGTTGTAGACATGTTTTGCACACCATGTTTGTGTTAAACTTAGTGTCAATGATACTCTTTCCTAATCCATACAGCTCTGTCTTTTTCTCAGCTAAGCAACACCAGTCATTTCAGTTCCTGTTCCTCCCCATTCCCAATTATATGAGGTACTTGATATAAAAATTCTAATGACAATGGACAATGTGTCTCAAAGCAATTGGTGATGGCATCTAATCTTCTATTAAGAATCTTCCTTGTGAAGAAAAGTATTCCTCTCTTCTACCTTTGGCAGAGGAATATTACCTAGTGGAAACAAAAATGGGCAGGAATAAAATACTTTTGTTCGTTTTGGCAATTTCTATTAGAAATACAATTTGACTGTTATTATTCAATATATCATTCAACTACCAGTGCTATAAAGCTAAATCAGATGTATATTATTGATGAAGAGGACTTGCTTTCAAAGAAACAAGCTTCAATTGTGCTCCTAATTGTAAAAATGAATGTCAGTGCAACACCTTACAAATTTTAAATGGAAAACGTCAGCTGTCAAGGATGTTCATGGCAGTTATACTCTGTAGAATAACTGAAATTAAGCACATGTAATATTCAATAATTTAGGCAGGTTCCAAAATCCAGAATCATATTTCTTAGTAGAGTTAACAATAGACCCACCATTACTGCATCCTATCTAATGAAATTAGATAATAAATTCTCAATAACTTCTCTTGCATTCACATTATGAAAAAAGTGTTTAAAATTCCACAACATGAATTTCCCTACGTGCCCCCTGCAAAATGTTACCTGGTGGAGCTATGAAATATCCTTCAACAGTCTTTGCAGCCTTCTTCAGTAGTTCCTCTGCACAGTTCCCCTCCGAGATGCTATCTTCCCTGAGGTAGAGATGCCTAAGGAACACAAATCATTCATCAACAGCCTGCTAGGAAGCTTAGAAATACAGCAGCTTTCTACAATGTTAAAGGCCAGGTGATATTACACGGCTTGCCAAGGCTGGAAAGAGCAAGTAGGTGCAAGTGGTCCCACTTTTCATCTGAATTGGGAATGATTCAGCAGTACACTACCAACACTTGCCAGCCTTCTGTCTGCAGAAACAGTCCGCTCAAGGGGGTGATGAATACCCTTCCTCAGAATTAAATGGCTTCCTGAGAATACCAATGACTGTGTCAGCTGGTGCTCCAATTCAAAATCCAAGAAAGGAATACTTAAGACTCCATTAATCAGAGAAAAGATATCTTTTACTGGAAATCAAGTGGTAGCAACAAAAGAATTCTGAACCTGAGAAAATGGGCATGTAAATCACATATACAAAGTAATGGCAACGTTCCCACCCCCAATAGTTCAATTGGCTCATCCAATTAAAAGTGTAGATCATCATGTGGGCATCTCCAAATGGTGATGAGGCTTCTGTCCGTTGACCTTGACAGTTTGATAAAGGGTTGCAGCTGCACATAGCATAGGATAGAAACCTAAGCAAGAATGTACCCCCCTCCCCAGCTTATACAGTTCTGGTTTGTAACACCTCCAGCTCACTTCCCATAATCATTCCCCCCCTCCTCCCCTCGTTACTTATGACAGCCGAAAGAAGCAAAGCAAAGGGAGAAAAATATTCAAGGCTGACATTCTGTCCTGGACCTGAAAAGTCAGAAAGCAAACTTTGGAAACTATCGAGGGGGCTCCTGATAGCTACCTGTCTTCCAGCACCGATTCCATGGGCTCAATTCCATCAGTGTTCACTGCTTGAAGTTGTTCGGCGAATTCAACTGCGCTCTCCAAACGGCGGACGCCCTCCCAGTTACGGAAATCAACGAGCGCCAGTCGCTCCAGATGATCCAACAACTCCAAAGTAATTTTGGCCTGCTAAAACAATTTTGCTTTCTATATACCGGCAAACCATACTGTGTGGAAACTTAGAATATACTCCTAGAAATGGGACGGGAATTCAGCTGGACAAAGGAGGTGCCCGCAGGGGTCTCCAACCTTGGCCGCTTTAAGACTTGTGGACTTCAATTCCCAGAATTCCTCAGCCACCAACGCTGGCTGAGGAATTCTGGGAGTTGAAGTCCACAAGTCTTAAAGCGACCAAGATTGGAGACCCCCTGGTCAATGGGGCTTCATTTCGCCTGGAAAACCATCGAGGAAAACGGAGAATCCCCCCAGCTCTGCCAGGCTAAATCCCGCAGCGGAAAGCAGAGTCCCCAACACAGCAGAGCCTGGCCTAATTGTGCCCCCCTGCCCGGCCACCTTGGCAGCGGGGCAGGGGCACTGGCACACAAGTCTTACCTACTCACCCGGCCGGATCCGGCGTCCTCCGCCGAAGAGGCGCCCCTGTAGCCGAGCGCAGAGCGGAAGGGGCTCCAGCAGCCCCGCCGGGCCCACCTGCAGCCGAGCATGTCAAACGCGCCTCTTCTACTTCCGGGCGTCGAGGCGGAAGTGACGCCACGACCTGCCTCCCGGGGCGCTGCGTCAGTCCGCCATGAATAGCGTCGGCGAGGCCTGCACGGAGCTGAAGCGCGACTACGACCAGTGCTTCAACCGCTGGTTCGCCGAGAAGTTCCTGAAGGGGGAGGCCGGCGACGGGGGAGACCCCTGCGTCCAGCTCTTCAAGCGCTACCAGCTCTGCGTGCAGGTGACGGGCGGGCCTCGGAACAGGCGGGGGCGGCGTGTGTGTGTGTGTGGTCTGCTCTTTCCCCCCTCCCCGGGGAAGGAGAAGGCAGAGCGCCGTGTTAATACTGAGCCCGGCGCTTCTCAGCCCTGGTCGCGTGAAAGTGGGAGGACTTCAACTCCCAGAATTCCCCAGCCAGCGAGCGACCAAGCTTGAGAAAGGCCCCCGAAGGCCCCGCGGCCTCTTTCAGCTGGGCGGGAGGGGCGTCTCCAGCGAACGCCTCCCTTGGGGTGTTTGCGGGCATCGTGCCGGAAGCGAGTTTGGGCCCCGAGCTTGCGTCCCAGCAGCGGGGCGGGCAGGGGGCAACCCGACATCCAGAGGCTGCCTGGTTTGGGGATGCTGCATGACGGCCTTCCCTCTAACTCAGGGGTCTTCAACCTTGGCCACTTTAGACTTGTGTACTTCAATTCCCAGCAAAGCTGACTGAGGAATTCTGGGAGTTGAAGTCCACAAGTCTTAAAGCGGCCAAGGTTGGAGACCCCTGCCTAACTCACAACTGAGCCCTTGGACTTATATACTGCTGCACAGTGCTTTACAGCCCTCTGTAGGAGTCAGTCTCTTGCCCCCAGCAATCTGGGTCCTCGTTTTATGGACCTCGGAAGGTTGGAAGGCTGAGTCAACCTTGAGCCTGATAAGATTCGAACTGCCAAATTGCAGTCAGTCAGCAGAAGTAGCCCTGCTGCCCTCTAGCCACTGCACCACCCAATCCAGCATTGGGAATGCCAAATGCCTTGTGAAAAAGGGAGAACTAGGGAGTTCTGCTTGCAAATCTGAAAACAAATGATGGCCCTTTTCTACAGTTTGGACATTTATCTTGAGGCTGTCCTGGACTTTTAGTGCTTGCAATATGTTCCTTGAACCTTCTCGGCATCTTAGAATATCCGTCATTTGTTTCCCTTTTAGAAAGCTATTAAAGAGAAGGACATACCCATCGAAGGCCTGGAGTTCATGGGTTCCAGCAAAGAAAAGTCTGAGAACTCTTCATAAAACTGATGACATCTGCAACCCTCCCCCTGCCCAAGACCACAAAACAGGCAAACTAAAATGAACTGGCTGCCAAACACGGAACTCACCCAAATACCACTAATGTGGGTGGGGAGATACAGGGTGCTGCTTCCTTGCAATGTTGGTCACATCAATCTAGTGACTGCTGCTTCGTTTCCATTGTTGCTGGGAAAGGCTTTATCATGATTGCCTATGTACAGTCATGTGAAAAAGTAAATGCCCCTATTGAAGTTTTTGACTTGTTCAACATACAGATATTTGAACTTCCACAATATTGACAAAGAGGACACAGTATAACACATATCATGCGCTATTTAAATTTTGTGGACCATTGTAAATTTAAATAAAAATAATTGAAATTTTTGCATGGAGAAAAAGTAAGTACATCCCTAATTTATCACTACCTCAAATGGTGAAAAGTAGAGTTTTCGATGAATAGACCCATTGTCAGAATCTTGGAGGAACCTGTCTTTTTAAATCCTCAGGCTTTTAGTTTGGTTTATGCCCTGTGTTGCTGAAATATGTGTTATCACCATGCTTAGCTTGAAAGAATGCTCTGGGGCTTTCCAAAAGATTATAGAAGCCATGAAAAGGATCACCAAACAACTGGGCAGCAATCATTCCAATGATTATCTACAAATGGAGATTTCAAACAAACAGCCAATTTGGCCAGGCATTTGGTAGTCGGTGAACAAAATAAAATGACTCATTGTCCAGCCCATTAGGTTCATCTCAAGTGCAGATGCAAGAGCCTGAAAGAAATCCCTAAGAACCTCAGAATTTTGTCACATGACCAACAGGTAAACTCTCTTTACTATTGATATTGAACTAGAATGAAGCTGTACAAATCTTCATGGGAAGTGAGCCAGGAAACCTTTGCCCTCCAGAAGGACCATCAAGACAAGACTGGTTACCTCATGAACACCTAGATGTCATGGCCCATGACTTGGACAACTCTTGAGTCTAAAGAAGCTGCTCCCAACTAAACCAGCGGAATGTCAGCCTCAGGAGACACCAACCCAGGAATCCCCTGAGGCTGATCAAAAGCATCAGACTAACTGGAGCAGTCAAATCATGAGGTGTGCCCCTCCATCAAACCCCTGGCAAGTTTTATTTTCAAAGACCCTGATTTATGTTACTGTCTGCTGACCCTTAGGTAAATTGCTTATCACCAAGCAACTCTGTGTGTGTGTGTGTGTGTGTTTGTAACCTGAAATGGGACGCTAGGCAAAGAATAGAATTTTTGGAACAATGTGCTCTGGACAGACAAGGCAAAGATAGTGTTACATATTTAGCTTTAGTACCAGAAGACATAGCAAAAACAGTTTGGTGTGGTGGGGAAAGTGCTGACCTAGAAAGCAGGAGGCAAATTCTAGTCTCCCTGAGGGACAATTCCTGTTGCACGCTTTCAGCCCAACCCAGCTCAGGGATGTGTGAGGAAAAAAGGCAGACGGCATGTTCACCACCATGAGTTGTTTACAAAAATAATAAAACTGGGATGGAAAAAAATATTAATAACAAAGGATAGCATCTATTTACTCATTTTTATTACTGCCTGTCTCAGCTGATTCTGAGTAATTCATAAAGTTAAAATTTCACAAGAACCTGATACAGTCTGTAAACACGGTGGGGGAAATGTTCTGGTTTGGGGCTGCATCGGAGCCTGAGCAGCTCCCCGTCATGAACTCTGGGCACTTAAGGGTCACACAACAGCAGCTCTCAGAAGATTGAAGCTCAACTGAAAGTTGAGGTGCAACAGGACCGTGATCCTAAATCCCCCGGGGAAAAAGAAAAGGCCAAGTCAAAGCCTGGATCTGAATCCCACTGAGATGCTGAGGAGGATTTGAGCTTGGCTCTGTGTGCAGGAAACCCTCCCAGCACCACCAGCTGAAAAATATCTGCATGGAGGAGTGGAAGGAAATCCCCCCTCCAATCAGAGACGGGTAGACAGTCATGAGGAAAGCCTGCTGGAGGGAGTTGGCAGAAAGGGGTCAGTGATAGGCCTTGGAGCGGGGAGATTTCCTTTTTCCCACAAGGAAACGGCATATCTATGTTGAATAAATGATTGCAAAGTCCATTTATCCTAGGCTATTTTGTTCAATCAAATCACCCATATACTGTTTGAAGATAAAATATTGGTACGTCTGCATAATTTAAACTACGTGGGGTCTTTTTACTTTTTCACATGACTATGAAATACAGGGGAAGGCTCTTTGGAGACACATAGAAGATATGGAAACATTCTTTGCAGGAGAAAGTGCCTTAACAAATGTGACTGAGCAGTTAAGAGTGTTCTGGTATATGCAATAATGGAAATTAAATTAGGAAACAAATACAAAATTAGAAATGGCTTGTAACTTAGCTTTAACCTGGGGGTTATGCTTTGACAGAAGCATATGAAGTTATGCTTTACAGAATTACAGAAGTTATGTCTGACAAGACCCATTCAAGACCTCAACTTCAGAGAATCAATCCCTCTCCACCAGCCTGGACCCTGTGTGTGTGTGTGTGTGTGTGTACATGCAAGGGGCTGCCTGCCTGCCCTACTCACAAACCAGCAATGAATGCTGCTCTACTGTATAAAGAACTCTGCCCTGCTGCACTTTGCTTACAGATAATATATCCCACCAACAAGATTTATAGAATGTAATCACGTCACTGCTATTTATCAGATTGTGAATTGCAATCACATGTCACTGCTATTTATCAGCTTTTTAAAGCAGTATTACATCACAGATTTGAAAGGGACTTCAGGTGTCCTGACGTTCATTTCCTGCTTGGTGTAAGATTTGCAAAACAATAAAGGGAAAACTTTAAAAAGCAACTTATTAAGACTGGCTGACCATTGAGAAATTCCTCCTGGTATCTAAAACAAATGTACTTACTTAGAATCTAGTTTCAACCTACTGATTCTGGTTCTGATCTCAGGGATATCGACCTTCATGCCTGCTCCTTTATATGACAATGGTTTACAAATCTGAAAGCTATTGTATTTTCCTTCAGTTTTGTCTTTTTAGGGTAAAGATACCTAGAGCTTTCTACTGTTCCAAAGGCTTGGCAGCTCTCCTCTGAACTCTCTCCAGTTTTCAATGTCTGTTTTGGATCACAGTGCCCAAGCTGGGAAGAATATTCTAAGTGGCCTCGCCAAGGCAAATAGAAAAGCAGAGAGTTGACTTCTGCGATGTGGATTCTATGTTCCTGTTAATACATCCCAGAACAGCACTTGCCCCTTAGTTAGCTCCACTACACAAGATGAATAATTCTGCTCTCACTAAAATGATACGTTATTCATTTTCTTGTCAGTTTCTATACAGGAAACTTACTTCTTCAGAATTTGTTCTAATTCCAAGCAATCTTGACCAGTAGCCATTTTTTTTATATCACATATATTAACAATTTGAGCACAGCTGCTTTCCTGCAAAGAGAGTGCTAGTTAATTTTTCATCTATAAAGCTCAATAACACACACACCCCTTCAAGATACCAGGATAAAAGGTATTGATATAAAGTTTTTTTTAAAAAAATCAAAGATTTGGCTAGAATACATTTTATTTTAGGAGACTTCTACAGGAAGAACATCAACTGTGAGAAGTCAGAATCAACACAGGAAATGCAGATTCTGGTCCCAGCCTCGATTCTGGTCCAGCTACCTTTAATGGTCCATGTTGTGGCTGTGATTCACTTGCCTAATGGTCACTCTTCATAGCCAGTTGGAAGTGCATTGACATGTGGATTATGGAAAAGAGAATGATTCCCATCACCCCAAGGGAAGGGCTGCAAAGAGAAGAGAGATGGTAGTTTTAGTTTCCTAAAGTATATAAATTCTTTATTACGGCTTTTTGACCAGCAAGGTGGCAGTTGCCAGCCAATGTTCTCTCAAAAAGCTAAACCTGGGCAGTTTTATAATGTACGGGGGGGGGGGGGGGACCACTACAAAATCCCCAGGCTGTAGACAATTGAGACGTCAAAAAGGAGAGGGATTCGGAGGTGGGGTGTCTCAGAAGGAAAGGCCAACTACTTCCAGGATGCAGCCAAGAAAACTGCATGGCTATTTTCAAGAGGTTTCCAGGGGTCAAATTTGATTCAAAGGAGCCTAATTATTTAAAAATAATTTTCAAAAATCAATCCTTGCAGCTGAATGTGCAGAACAGTGGCTTTGTTAGGCAATAATGCAATGATTTTTTTTTATGTTGGCATCCACTGGGGTATCAGAAATAAGTAGGACTTTTTATATTTTTGTCAACGTGGCTCAGAGACAGCAATTGGTCCAATGAAGATCACGCACAGTGTAAGGCCCAGACTCTCCCCTTCAGACGATAAGAATGAACTTTTGAAAACTGGGTATTCCAAAAGGAATTCTTTATTGAAAAGGAAGTTATCCAGGTGATATTCAAAGCAGGGTCTAATATGCAACCAGTTTCCCAATAGGTAGGCAATGTAATTCTCACCCTACTTCAAAATCCAAGTGTAGAAGAGACTGTTATAAGAAGGGAAATACAAGTAGTTCTCAAGTGTAAAAGAGTTTATTTAGTGACCATTCAAAGTTACAACAGCACACAAAAAACCAGTGACATGACTATTTTCCACACTGATTTTCAGGATCCCCATAGACATGTGAGGATCAAAATTCGGATGCTTGGCATCTGACTCATATTTATGATGGTTGAGGTGTCCTGGGGGTCATGTGATCACTGTTTATAACTTCCTGACATTCTTGATTCACTTGACAAATGTGTTACTAATTTAACTACTGCAGTGATTCACTTTACAACTGCAGCAAGAAAGGTGTTATGCCCCTGTTGAGGGGGAGGCTCAGCAGCTAACAGGGAGTGGGAGTGTGGCTCTGTTGGCTGTGGAGGAAACTGGGGAAGGGCACAGTCCGGCTGGGCAGAGCAGGGGAGAGGTAGAGCAAGAGAGAAGGAATTTGGAGGAAGACCCAGGCTCACCCCCTCTTCATCCTAGGGCACGCAGGGAAAAACAGAGAAGGGAGCAACGTGGGTTGGTGGCTTATGGGGAGGAAAGGGCCCTGATTCCCTTCATTAGCTGCAGCTGGGAACACTGTTTAAAAAGGGAAGCTAGGCACAGCAACTTGTTGGATGCAAATTGTGAATTATCTTTTATTGTTGAGGCTTATCTGGGTTCCTGGCATCTTCCCAACTGTGTGTGTTTTGTTGGCCTTTGAAGTCTGCAATTCCTTCTCCTGCCCTGTCAAGTTACTTACTGCAGGGTGGTTTGTGTAGATTTTTATTTGCAGTTTAATATGTACTTTTTTTTTCAGACTGAATTTTCTTCACTTAAAGACTGTTCTTGGGAGAGTTTTTTCTCCAGCAGATGGTAACTGGACATTGGGGGCAAAGTTGGAGGTATTAAAGGGCCTTTTCTTACTTATATGACTGTGTTGCTTTTGTGCCACACCCAGGGTCATCACAAAAGATCTTAAAATGGAACAAAACCCACTGAAATGTCTCACTTATCAATGGTAGTTTTGGGCTCAATTGTGATCATGTCGAGAACTACCTGTATTTGATCAGAAACAATTGGTGTCTAGGCCATGCTTTTGGGATCTGACCCAACCCATCTAAACCTCAATTTTTGCAACTCTCTGCAAATGTCTCCCAACAAGTCTGCATGGAACAAGTCAATGGAAATTCAGTACCTTGGTCCGGATGTAAAGATGCTTGTAAGGAATAAATTCTGGCCTTTCATGATGATCATCTTTCTTCAGGTAGCAATTTAGCTGGCAGATAGCAACGGAAGGAAGAGCAACCACAAAAGACAAGATTTTCCATAAACGATCTAATTAATTGGATTCAAACACAAGCAGAAAGTCAAGGAGTGTTATTTCTGTGCAATACATTAAAATACAGGACCAACAGAATTACTATCTGAGCCTTTTAATTCAATGTGCAGACAGTGCAATGAAAAATTGTTGCAGCACAGCTTATAATTGAACTGAAAATGGACCAGCAGGAGGAAAAAGTGGGAGATGCTAATTAGTTTTGGAATTACTTTTTGATTATACAGCGGCTCAATTCACAAAAGATCTAAGCTAAAATTGAGCTGCTTTGTCCTTCAGCGTTTTTTGTGACTTGGCCAGGACCTATTTTTAGTTCCTACACAGCAATTCAACAAAAACATATCTGGAGCCGAATGTCCTAAACAAGGGCTGTCAAACTCAAACTGCATCATGCATTGGCCACACCCAATTTAGCGAAGGGGGATAAAGTCCCAATACATCATGTGACAATGCCATGACACCCCTTTCCTAAGCTGAAGCCTCTCTGCTGCAATAATTTCCTGCTTAATGTCATGGTATTTTTCCCCTCAACCCCAGCCCCTCCTTTCCATTACCAGTTCCAGAATATTATCAGCAAAAGTAAAAGGGCAAGGCCAACACCACGAGAAGAAATCCAGGTAAAGAGTTAGGGTTGGTGTCAGTATTTTATAAAGTAAGTATACTAAAGATCTGTCTCAAGATAATTTCTGGAATCAAAGATACTTCCAAAACTGGAATCACTACATCTTTTAACTGTAATTTAGCATCTTACATAATTTAGCATCCTGTTTTATATTAGATTCTTATATCATTTAGATTTCCTAGAGCCAGCCCACTCTCAAATAGTCTGCAGCGCCTACTGTAAAACGCTTCCCATTTTAATGAAGTTTTTGGGAGCCCTTAAAATTGCTCTGTAAATAAATGTAATACAGTGAGCAGTACTTGGGAGGTTCATTTTTTGGTGCAACGGCTACATTCATACGCCCCACTGGGCTGGTTTACTGCATTAACCCATCTCCCACATTCAATCCACTCAACCACGGGCTTAGCAGCTCAATGGGCTCAGTTCGCACAAGAAGCTGTGAAAAGCCAAGCAAATTCAGCACATGGTCCAGCTTTCCAATTCAATTTTTAATTTTAACTTGACTTCACTGTAAGGAAGCGCCCTACGGCTCCCGAAAGGCGAGGTCGGGGCAGCTGCCTCCCACCCCTTGCCGGTTCCTCCAGCGCCAGGCAGCGTCAGCCGCCCTTCAAGGCGGGGGACACTCGGTCCTCTTAAGCTTCTCTGGGGGGCGCCAAGCCCACCGCCTTGCAGAGGCCGCGGCGGCCCCGATACGAGGAGGAGGAACGAGCACAAGGTCACCCGGTCAACAAGGCCGTCTCCACGCACCGCTCCCGTGGTGCTTCTCCGGCGCCGCCTCGGTCGTCAGAGCCCGCTTCCAGCCCGCTCCGGCCCCCAGCCGCCGCGAGGCCCCGCCGAGCAACGCCATCGCCACCGTCCTCAGGAGGGTCGCTCGCTCGGAACCGGAAATAGAATGGCGGGTGGGCGTCGGCGCGGAGGGTGACGTCACGGCAGCGCCGAAAGGCGCGGTGCCGCGCCTGCGTAAACTTTGGAAGCAGAGCCGTGCGCAAAGCGGACCGCTTCCGGCTTCCCTTCGAGGCCGGCTGGGCGGGGCTTCGGCTGCCGCTCTTGAATTGCAAGAACCGCCCAATTCAGGCTCTAAGGCGAGCCCCGCGGAATAAGACCACGCATGCGCACCAAAGCTAGGATGGCCGGAGCGGATCAGTTCCTGCAAACTGAATTCAATGCAATGCAAGCTGAGGGAGAAAAAAAAAGCTGCGTTCCCGCAAAGTCGCCGGTTCCTTCTCCGCTGGGCGAAGCCAACCGGGGAGGCTTTGGGGCGCTGGAAATTGGCCGGAGCGTGGGATTTGTGCGGATTGATTGTATTTTATTCAACGTATATAGCCGCCCATCTCACTTGCGAGACTCGTTTCAGGGGAGGTGGGGCAGCTTTGCAAGAAGAACCGGGCTGGAGACCGGAGCCGAGTCTACTCTGTGCAGCCGTTGGAGCTCCCTGAGTTGGACCATCCATCCATTCACCTATCCAGATTAGATTAGAATTCGTTATTGGGCACGTGTGATTGGACACACAAGGAATTGGTCTTGGTGCAAATGCTCTCTGTATACATAAAAGAAAAGAGACATTCATCAAGAGTCAAGCATCACAAGGTCCAACACTTAATGATATAGTCATAGGGTACAAGAAGCCATCGAACAGTCCATATGGATCGTAAGGATACAAGCGACAAAGTTACAGTCATACAGTTACAAGTGGGAGGGGATGGGCGATAAGGAATGATGCCAAGATTAATAGTGATAGTCCATCCACCCCTTATCTCCGCCACCTTCCTTCCTTATCTGTCCATCCCCCTCGCAGAGCGGCAGTTGCCTCGCAGGCGTCTCACGACCGACCCAGGAAGGCGATGGCGCTGATGAAGTTCCCAGACTGGGTCCCGAGACGTCTGCAAGACAACAGCCGGGAACTGCTCGGCTCAGCCGAGAGGCTCCTCGGGCGACGCGCTTCCCTGCTCTAATCGCCGAGCGCAGGAGCCCCAACCCAGCCGGTTTCCAGGTGGAAAGGTTACTTTCCGAAGAATGGGGGCAAGAGACGCCCTCCCCCCACCGCCCCTGCAAGTCCCGGGGCACCAGGGCTCTTGGTGCAACCCCCGGGGCGGGTGGGGGAAGAGGAGCCGAAGGAAGGCTCGCCTGCTTGAGCCAGGGGGTTAGACTAGAGGACCTCCAGGTGCCTCCCAACCTTTCTCTTATTCTGCTTGCGAGAGCCTTCCCGCACCTGGAGGGCGCGCGGAGCTTCGGGCATCCCCGCAGCGAGGTGCCCCGGACCCCTGCCGCTGCTCCGGGTTGGGGGTCGCGGGGGAGGGGAAGGCCAGGCCCCGTTCGGGCCAGGAGCAGCATGTCCTGGGCATGAGGCCCCCCTCCCCGCCCTCTGGCCGTGGCTGAGCACGGAGCCCTGACCGGCCGGGCTAGCTGCAGTCCCCGCGGGCTCCGCGCGATGGCCCGCTCGGCCAGCCCTTCTCCGACCCTCGGACACGCAGCGCTGCCGGCAGCCGGAAGGCTCGGGGCAGATTCCTAAATGGCTGGGCCGGGTTGGGCCTTCGCTGGTGCGTGTCTGCCTTTTTCCTCCTGCGGCTGGACTGCGAGGAACGCCGGCGGAGCGCCAGATTCTGCACCAGCCGTTTCTCCACTTTGGCGACTTGAAGATGTGCGGACTTCAACTCCCAGGAATCCCCAGCTGGCAAAGATTTATGGGAGTTGACGTCCACATGTGCTGGGTGGGGCATTCTGGGAGCTGAAATCCCACCTCCCTTCAAGTTGCTAAAAGTTGAGAAAGAAAAGCTACAGGCTGCAGGTTAGGAAAGAATGGAATGGAATGGAATTCTTTATTGACCAAGTGTGATTTTTACACACAAGGAATTTGTTTTGGTGCAAATGTTCTCAGTGTACATAAAAGAAAAGAAATATTCGTCAAGAGTCAAGAATCATAAGGTACAACACTTACTAACAGTCATAGGGTACAATAAGCAATCAAATCATACTAGGAAACAGTCAATATAAATCGTAAGGATACAAGCCACAAAGTTACAGTCATACAGTCAGAAGTAGGAGGGGGTGGGTGATAAGGAGTGATGAGAAGATTAATAGTGATAGTAGTGCAGACTTTGTCAATAGTTGGACAGTGTTGAGGAAATTATTGGTTTAGCAGAGTGATGGCATTTGGGAAAAAATTCCTTGTGTCTAGTTGTTCTGGTGTGCAGGGCTCTATAGTGTCGCTTTGAGGGTAGGAGTTGAAACAGTTTCTGTCCGGGATGTGAGGGGTCTGTAGATATTTTCATAGTCCTCTTTTGACTCCTGCAACATACAGGTCCTCCATGGAAGGCAGGTTGGTAGTAATCGTTTTTTCTGCAGTCCTTAATTACTCTGTGGAGTCTGTGTCTGTCTTGTTGAGTTGCAGAACAATAAATCCAAGGAGCCTCAGAATGTCAAAAAAGAAGTTTGACTTTTAGTTGCATCAACATTCAGGCTAAAGTTGGGGAAAAGTCTGCATGTAAATCTTCTTTGCAGTCTTTTCACTTTTGGGGCCAGATAGATTCACCTGGACTTTTTATGGCTCGTTAATCTTAGTATTCTATTTTTTATGCAATTCTGGTTTGAAAAAAAAAAACCTTCTGGTTTTGTCTCTTATTTCCAAGGTGGGTGGGGGAAGGTGAAAAAAGGTCAAGATGATGACTGAAACTGCATATAGAAGACACATTTTTTTTGTTTTATACATCATTATGTGTGGCAAGTAAAAGGGGAAAAGTTTTCATCACACAGTTATGGCAATCATTTTGGTTTTTCTGCCCTCCCTTTTTATGGATATCCATATTCCTTGCACTGTTCTTTATTAATAACTGGTCAACCTTGTTTTGGCTTGGATCCTAAATAGGGTTGGGTCCTTTTTATTAAACCTTATTATAATATAATATACTGATAGAAATAAAGATATTAAGGGGTGGGGAAGGAAAAGAAAGGGAAGGAATGCAAGGAAAAAGCGAAAGGAAAAAAAGTGATTTCCAATTTATAATCTATAATTCAGTTACAACCTCATCTTTTTGCTTCATATATTTATTAAGTAGTAACCATTTCTATAGCAAATTAATCATCAAAACCTAAGATCAAAGTTTCTTCTGTTTCAAGCAAAACAATGATTGAAAAGTGGATTCCAAGCAGTAAAAAAAAAACTGAATAAGTTCTTCTTTAATTAGAGCAGTTAATTTTGCCATCTCTGCCAATCTAGAACCTTTTTTAATGGGAGTCTTCTAGGAAAGGTTTAGAGGGCTAGAAGTGGGAAATAAATCCAGGCAGGAGACACAGAGGTTGCTAAGTAGGAGCCAAACTTGACCTGAGGGTATTTTTTTAAACGGCTTTTTCTCTGGAAACTCAAGCAGGTGATGCCTTGTTTATCCTCTCCATAAGCATCTTGCGAGGTTAAGTTAGGCTGAATGTGACTGGCTTAGAGAGACATGTCAAATCTGTTTGATTCCTCTGATAAACTGAGAAACCCAAAGAACAAATATAGAAAAATGGAAAGCAGGTGGTCAGATAATGGTCAGATATTTGGGTGGGGCATGGTGCCAGGAAGATACAGATTAACAGAGGTGGAAGGGACCTTGTAGGTCATCTAGTCCAACTCCCCGCCCACAGGAGGCCCTACACCAGGGGTCTCCAACCTCGGCAACTTTAAGACTTGTAGACTTCAACTCCACAAAGCTGACTGAGGAATTCTGGGAGTTGAAGTCCACGAGTCTTAAAGTTGCCGAGGTTGGAGACCCCTGCCCTACACCGTTTCTGAAAGATGGCAGTCCAGTCTCTTCTTGAAAGCTTCCAGTGATGAAGCTCCCACAACTTCTGAAGGCAACTTCTGTTCCATGGGTGGATTGCTCTCACTGTCAGAAAATTCCTCCTTATTTCCAGGTTGAATCTCTCCTTGTTCAGTTTCCATCCTATTCCTTGTCTGGCCTTCGAGTGCTTTAGAAAATAGCTTGACCCCTTCCTGTCTGTGGCAGTCCCTCAAATATTGAAGCACTGCTATCCTGCCTCCCCTGGTCCTTCTCTTCCCTAGACTAGCCAGGCCCGGTTCCTGCAACAGTTCATCATGTGTTTTAGCCTCCAGTCCCCTTAATCATCCTGGTTGCTCTTCTCTGCACTTTTTCTAGAGTCTCAACATCTTTTTTATAATGTGGTGACCAAAACTGGATTCAGTGCTCTAGGTGTGGCCTTACTAAGGCTTTATAGAGTGGTATTAGTACCTCCCTTGATCTTGATTGTATCCCTCTGTTAATGCAATTTAGGATTGCGTTGGCTTTTTTGGCTGCCGCTGCACACTGTTGGCTCATAGTTAGCTGGTTGTCCACTAAGACTCCAAGATCCCTCTCACAGTTACTGCTATTGGTTTCCCCCAGTCTATATGTGTCCTTTTGGTTTTTGTTGCCTAAATGTAAGACTTGACTTTTCTCTACAAAATCAAGGATAGAGATCAAAGTCCAGAATGAGCTGAGGCTCACAACGAATGCCAAAACATGTTCAGAGGGTTCTCTAAGGAAATGCTGAACAAGAAGACAGTCTCTGGGAGGAGAAGAGGGAGAGATGGTAAAAGAATTGGGAGAGAAGACCAAACTGTTTAATTCTAACTTTGCACCTGTCTTTTCGCAAATCTCCTGGAACCTATCAGAAGCTGGACTATGGGGACAGAAGAAAAAGGCAAGTCAAAATAGGCAAGGAAGTGGTGAGAAAACACCCAGAAGCTTGGAATGAATTCAAGTCACTGGATTGCATCCCAGGATGTCACCAAAAGAGCCGGTAGATGTCAGGGGATACAGACGGTGATCTGTGAGAACTCCCGGAATGGGGAGAGGCAAAAAAACAGAGAAGAACCAATATCGTTCCAATCTTTTAAAAAGAGGAAAAAAGTGGAGAGAAGCAACCTGTAAATAA